GGCCTTTACCAGTCATGGCCTCCTAATAATCCCCATCTGTGAACTGGCTTCATCACTCTGCTCTCCTCCCCACTGAGAGCTGGTGTGTGAGGAGTGTACTGGTGCATCATCCAGGTGGGGCTGCACACTGGTGGTGGTGGAGGGGATCCCCATTACCTGCAAAGCGCTTTGAGTGGAGTGTCTAGAAAAGCACTAATCATTTTAAATATAATTCATATTATTTTTCGCTTCCTTGATTGATGTTGTATTATACTATAATAAAAGGAATGGGTCCTTGAGTTCTAAGGCACGTTTCATTGAAAAGGACCTCTCCTTGCAGTTGCCATAATGTGCTTGTTTCTCTATCTCACCTCAGTCTCACTCCTCCACGTTGCCAGATGTAAAGATTGACCAAGTGGCCAGAGATTCCTGCGTCAGGCATTTTCAGTCTGGAAACTAACAGACTGCTAGTCATGATAAGACCCTAGAACAGTGTTTATTTTCAGTTGTGTAAGATTAAGGAATTCGGACAAAGACTTGAACTCCAGAGAAAGCAAATACCACTAAGAATCAAAATGTACAGTACATTGAAATCTCCAAGCATGAAAAGCTTACTATTGCTTGAGTGTAAAAATTAAAATAGATCATCAGAATCAGACCCGGCTAGGAATAAATGAACTTTAGGAGAGTTATAAATGAGCTAGTAATAGGTTTATTCCATATTGAAAAGAGAAGAAAGAAAACACAACATTTCGGCCGTGGAGCCTTCTTCAGGTGTCACACCGAAACGTTTTTCTTTCTTCTCTTTTCAGCGTGAAATAAACCTATTACTTGTTCCTTTGCAGCCTACGCATGCTGACACAGCTACCCACCTGAACTACTTATAAATGAGCTATTTCATCAAAGGGTAAGAAGACATGAAATAAAAAACCAGACAAGGCACAAGAACTGCATCCATGCACAGGTGATAATCAGACAACGCAGAGCACATAACTTTTCGGGTTCACGCTCAGCAATCACTTCGGTCTGAAACAAAGCGCTGTTTGTTAACGAACAGGTGTCAGGTGGCAGGTCTGAATAAGCTCGAGCACAGAGAATGCAGCTTGAAACCCCGTGCAGACAGCTGAAGTTCCAGAGGAGGAAAATCGAAACTCTGACCTAGAAAACTGGGCCTATGAACCATTCCTAAGCCACAGCACTGTCTATAACCCACCTGAAACGTAAAAGAGATGATTCAATTGTCGAGACAAATACTGATGAATCAATACTCTAGTGACATAGTGAATAAAACAAAACCCAGATACAGAAAGATAGCCAGTCTTCAGAGATACCGGGTTGAATATAGGGATACTATGGCTAGTGATAGATCCAGCAGTTTCAAATTGTCAAGAATTATAAAGGGTGTGAAACTAGTTTTCTGTCGTTAATTGGTTTCTAAGGCCTAGCTGGCCTGTCATATTATTTGCTGCTTCACCTTTGTTTCACATTTGCGTAAATCCTTTGTGCAGTTTTTCACAATTAGGCTTAATATCATCAAACACAACATTCTCTCCTCTCCTCTCGCCCCACAGCAGTGCCTCTCTGTGTCCCTGCCCTTGCTGCCTCTCCTCTTTCTCACTTCACACTGCTCATGCCTGCAGTCTTTCTGACCTGGCTCCAGGCATGACACCCCCTCCCTGTGTGCGACTGACTCCTGTCTCTCAGCCCCTTGCCCCTGGGTCTTCAATACAGGGTTAATCAAAATACTGTCGACAACTTTGATGGTTTATTACAAATGAATGACATGGGTTTCATAATAACAGAGAACACAAAATGATTTCTCCACAGGTGACGCCATTGTGGATACTGTGCTACTGCAGCGCCATCTGTGGCGGAGAAAACAAAACTTTAGCAGAATAATCGGCATTTCTACTTGGCGACAACATTTTGACTAACCCTGTGTAATGGCGCCCTGGGCTCCAGCACGCTTGTATCACTGCTGCAGTCAGGCCAGTGCTTCAATAACTTCACATAACCTTGATTGAGCTGCATAATTCTCAGCCCACGAGCCTTTTTCTCGTGAAAGTATTAGAACATGCTGTTGCAGTGCAGCTAACAGGTCATCTCACTGTAACTAAACTTTCTGAATCCTTTCATTCTAGCTGTAGACAATTGTGAAATATTGAAACTGCTCTAATGTGGCACAGCGGGGCAGTGGTCAGCATTGCTGCCTTGCAGCACTGGGGCCCTGGGTTCAAGTCCTGGGCTGCTGTCTGTGTGGAGTTTGTATGTTCTCCCTGTGTTTGTGTGGGTTTCCTTCTAGGTGATCTGGTTTCCTACCACAGTCCAAAAACAAAAACTGGAAAACCAGCCCTGGTCTGTGTGTGTCTGTGTGTAAGTGTGCCCTGTGACGGACTGGCATCCCATCCAGGCTGTACCCTGCTTTGCCAGAATAAGCTACAGCTCTCTCACTGGATAAAGTGGTTTGACAACGGATGGATTTTGTTAACCGTGAAGTTAATAACTTAACTTAAAGTAACACATAAAACTAAAATCGCTACAGAATGGCTTCCTGCCTGGAATGGTCTCTAGGACTTTGGGAAGCAATCAGTTAGCAGCTAAAAGAAAAGGCTAGTCTTTCGGTTGTGGTCTGTTTTTGTTTCCTTGCACTTTAAATAAATTGCAGGGTTTTTTTTGGACCTTACATGTTTGCGTGTATCCTGGATCTTGCTATTTTAAAGGTCCCATTACAACATGCTCAATGGACTGTCACCTGTAGTGTACTCTACAGTACACTCACTCCTACAGGATATTGTGAGGGAAATGCTCATGCCTCTTCCCCAAGTTGGCAAACAGAGGTAGATCTAATTCACATTGTTCCTCCCGTGTCCAAAGTTCAGCCAGCAAAGAGAGTCTCCTCTCCAGTCCGTGGGCTTGGACCCCCTACACTCGAAACACATCTCCTGGCCCTTTCTTGAAGCCAGAAACTACCACCATATTCCAGAGGTACTGCACCTGCCTTCTAGGCAACATCAAAGAAGTACTTTAACCAGATTTCTACAGCCATGGGCAATGCTATCAACGATGATGGGCCAGGGTCGTCCGTCTCCAGTTTCCAACATGAAGGCACTTGGCCACAACAGCAACCTCAGTAATACTGACAAATCAATCAATCAATCAATCAATCAGTTTTTAATGTTGTATAGCACCTTTCTCTCCAGAACATTCCCATGGCATTCCTTCACCCTGCAGCCTATGTGGCTCCTAATGCCCCAGTATAGTGGCGGGGACACTAGACTGTAAAAAAAAAGTGCTTCTACATACTCCACTCAAAGCTCTTTACAGGTAATGGGGATCGCCTCCACCACCACCAGTGTGCAGCCCCACCTGGATGATGCACTGGTAGCCAGAGTGAACCAGTACACTCCCCACACACCAGCTCTCAGTGGGGAGGAGAACAGAGTGAAGAAGCCAGTTCAGAGATGGGGATTATTAGGAGGTCATGACTGGTAAAGGCCAGGGTAAAATTAGGCCAGAATGCCAGGGTAACACCCCTACTCTTCTCAAGAAACACCCTGGGATTTTTAATGACCACAGAGAGTCAGGACCTCAGTTTTAAGTCTTATCGAAGGACGGCACCTTTTTACAGTACAGTGTCCCCATCACTATACGGGGGCATTAGGACCCACACAGACCGCAGGGTGAGCGCCCTGTGCTGACCCCACTGACACCTCTTCCAGCAGCAACCTTAGCTTTCCCAAGAGTCTCCCAGCCAGGTACTGGCCAGGCTCACACCTGCTGGGCTTCAGGGGGCTGCAAGGTGTGAGCTGCAGGGTGATATGGCTGCTGGCATTATCCAGCCATCCCTGGAAGGATCTGATGTCATCGGCCTCAACGACGAGGCTGGGCAGCTTGTTCCATCCACCGCTTATTCCAATTCAGGGCTGCGGGGGGCGCCAGAGCCTATCCCAGCAAGCAACGAGCACAATGCAGGGTAATAATAATACAATACAGGGTACCAGACACACACACACACCAGGGTCAATGTTCCCAGAAGCCAATTAGCCTACCAGCATGTTTTAGGACAGGGGGACAGGAGCAGCCGGCAGAAACCCACGTGAACACAGGGTGAACATACAGACTCCACACAGACAGCACCCCAGGAATTGAACCCAGGGCCCCAGCACTGCCAGGCAACAAAGCTAACTACCAAGCCACTGTGACCCCCGGACTTAGGACACGTGGAGATTTATTCCACAGTGTTTGAAGGGCAGCGTTTTGAGTTTATACGGGTCACGTTTTAGTGCGACGTCCGAAAGCAGCAAGTGCCCCAAAAGATCACTTTCTTGGCCACATACAATTTCTTGCATTAGGAATTTCTTTTCACACACCCCAGCTCTCTCTCCATGAGACACACAGGCACACAGAGGGGGAGAGAGAAGCTGGGGGTCAGAGTGCAGCGTCAGCCATTTATACAGCACCCCCAGAGCAGTTGGGGTTAAGGGTCTTGCTCAGGGGCCCAATGGAGTAGGATTCCTCTGCCGGCTAAGGGATATGAACCGGCAACCTTCCAGCCACAGAGTCACCGCTCCGCCCTTAGTTTAGTTAAGCACTAAACCCGCTGCTGCAGCAGATAACAGCTCACACTTTCCCAGAGTTCATATCAAGCTCATGAAACGTATCAGCACCACATGAAAGCTTTACAAAAGCTCTACGTTGTGATTTATCTCATATTTACCCATATTTGACACCTGCCACTTTTTTTTTTTTCCACGCGGTACGAATCAGGTTTCTGCTTGCTTTCCGCTTTCTGTCTCTCTTCACCGCTGTCTGGCGTCACAGCGGTGCTAGTTAACTAGTAACGAGTTTTAAATATATATATATATTGCGGAATTACATAATTTACTGCCAGGAATCGGAGAATGCTTCAACTTCTTTGTTCCCTTTCTGTTTTCGAGCTCAAGGGCGGGTTCGGGGGGATCCTCGTTGCCTTAGCGACTAACCGGTGAAACTTTGTGGGCGCAGTTTTATATTCGGCTGTCTCTGTAGGGAGAGTAACCCGCTGTTCAGCTTCGCCTTTTTTTTTCCAGAAAAGAAAAAGAAAAAAAAAAAGCTTTAACAATAAATCTCAAGCAAACTTGAGCAAGCTGGTCTGGCCAAAAAGAAGGCGTTAATGATCAATCTTTGTCGAAGTTTGCAGAAAAAGGTGAACTTCTCCTTACGCACCGGGGCGGGGACATTGTGGAGGTTGCATCTGCCTGCTGGATTTTGCAGGGCACCGCAGTCGACAGCGATCCATCAGTGTGTGTGTCTGTGTGTGTGTGTGCACCAGGAAAGGGGGTGTCGTGGTTTTCGGGTCTGGGCGATCCGCGAGCGCAGCGCGAGGACTCGCCCCCACGGCAGCTGCCCGCCACGTGACCGCCGCGCCGTCACAGCTGGGCTCGGAGAGCGGTCGGGCTCCGGGCCGGGTCTGCCCCAAGACTGCTCCTCCGGGGCATGGCAAGAGCTCCGGCTGGGGCTGGACAGCTCTCTCCCGTGTGCTCCCGGGCTCGCCGCGATTGAAAATGCTCTGGTTTCTGGAAGGGATGTGCCTGTTGCCCACGTCCTTGGTCATCTGGTCCTCCGTTTCCTTCGTCCTCTCCTATATCGTCGCCCTGCTCCGGCGTGATGTCGACGTCGTGTTCCCGTATATAAGGTAGGTCGCCCCCGGATCGCGGCTGTGTCTCCGCACAGGTGCGGGCAGGACCCCTGCAAGCCCCACAGTTAGGTTTAGTGACAGCGTGACAAACCAGGAGGTCCTGCCGGAAGAGAAGCAACAGGTTAGTTTGTTGTGGTTTTCCGATTGACTGGGAGGGTCAACGCGTTCGCCTGCGTGGACCTCATTTTCTAAAATACCTCATTATTTTAATTCAGTGCACATCAAAGATTTTGTACTTTGTAGTCCTACCGGGCGCCGCTGGGCTCGCAACCCTTCTGATCTCGGAATATTTACGCCCACTACCTACATATAGCGAAACTATTTTAAAAAAAATGATTTAAAAAATACATTTAAAAAAAGGGTGTTTCGTAGAATCTGAACCATTATTTAAGGCGCATTATTTAAGTGCGTATAAAAGGTAGATCATTGTGTTTTAAATGGCTTTATGAGTAAAATGCCAGACAGTTTCGTTTTCCCCGAGCGGGGCTGTTGTTGATCTTGCGAGTTATTCCGGGAACATCTGCCCCAGTTAAGCGCAGATGAGGTTTACTATACACCCAGCCAACGCCGCAAATCTGTTTTTTTCAAACAGCGTAAAGTAAAAACGGCGGAGTTTTGATTGCCGATGCCGGCACGCTGTTGATCAAGCTGTGAGTTCACCTCCCTTTGCGCCCTCACACCTGTCTGTCCCGAGGTGTTACTGCGTGAAAAAAAACACTGCACCCCAAATCGAGCTCACCGTCTGCTGCCACGGCGTTAAAACGTCACCTGACAATGTCGACCGACAATGTCCGTTAGTAAAGGAAAAAATAAATCACAGGTAAACGCAGTAGACCGAAGCATAGCCCGAGAGCACATTTGTTTTTAAAAGTTTAAAATGTTATATACTGTACTCGACGTTTATGTGTTTGATCAAGTCTAAAATAGGACAACAACTTTTTACGATTTGCAGAGTATAGTGGACCACAGACTTATTTTATTTACATTTTTAAAACTGAGAGTTACATATTATAAATGTGCAAGTTAAACCTTCATCACTAGAAACTCATATAATTAAAAAAAAAAACACGTTCACTGTATCATCTTCGCTCAGCTGCAAACGTCCCGAGCAAAAGGGAGCGAAGATGTTTTAACTGCGGCCTGAAAATCGTCCACAGCGAGAGGCTGGAATCTGAATTAGGTAAAAGTCATCATTATCAGATTCAACCCGGCTGACGCAGGTGTGCCTGTCCTGGAAACATCTCTCACGGGTCCCGGTATCACAAACTTTGGGCTCCGAAAATCTTCAGAAACCGTTTAGATAGGAACGTCTGGAAAAGATTTTCTTCTCTTCCAGTGCTACCTTGTGTCTGACCTGTCAACAAAAGGGAATCTGCAGAGAGAAGAAGACCAACAGGTTTTCCTTTTTCCCTGGGTTTTTCCCTGGATTTGTTTCGTTTCCCTGCAGTTGTTTTAGTTCTGGCGAGGCTCCAGACAAACATGGCTGCCCGCCAGTCCATTCCCTCTCTTCACTGCTGGTGCGTTTTTGTGGAGGAGGGATCCTTCACCTCTCCTTTCTCGCAGCCCCGTTTCAAAGATTCGTTCTCACCAAAGACCCCCGTCTTCCACAGTAGTTCTAATCTTAAGATATTAAAAGCAGAAACGGATCACCAGTAAACAACGTTGCAGGAGATAGAGGTCTACTGTGCTAAGTTTGTCCACACTGCTGTGTGCAGGTGAAAAATGTGCCCTTGTTTAGGGACCCCATTGGTCAGTTTTTAAGACCTCCAGGAGGTACCTGATTCCTGGTTCAGAAGCACTGCTGTATATGACATGACTGAAGTTATAAACTATCGCTTTGCTCCATACCTGTCAGTGAAGTCTTGGCTGATAGTACTTCATCAGCAGACCGCTGGTGGTTAGCTGAAAGCCCCTCTCTTGAAGGAGTTTGCCCGTACAGATCTGAAGGCTGATGAGACAAAAATGAATGGTGAAATATGAACGACAGGATCGGAGATTGTTGTGGTGCGGAACGCAAGTGAGAATTTTCAACCACAGTTCAGTTCATCAAGAACAAGTAGATCACAGGTTCCTTGAGAAACAAAAACAAATTCTGCTTTTAACTGAAGAATAAAATACAATGCATGCTTTTTTGTTTTAGTTGAGAAAATCTTAATTCGTATTAAGGTTTTTAATTCAAGGTCAAGTGCTGAAATAAACAGGAGTCGCTGAGTGTCTCCCTGACATTTCTTCTTTACTGCTTTGTCTTAGTGATACAGGGACGGAGCCACCTGAGAGTTGCATTTTTGGTGTGATGATAACCATCAGTGCCTTTCTGGGTAAGTACGGAGGCAGAGAATTGGTCTAGGCAAACATGTAAGAGCCATGGGGGTAGTACTATTACACTGTCTCAAAATGCTCAGACACTTGTTACTTTCCATATGAAAATGGTAGCTAAAGACTTAAGACACGCTCTCCCATGAATACGTTTTTGTCTTGCGGACGGCCAGTGCCAGACCTCCTTGCTTTGTGAACTCATGCGTGGTGTGAGCTCAGAGCCTGGATTTGAGCAGGCAATCCTGGGTAACTCTGATTGACTCAAGTGTCAGTTCGGATGAGACTGTGTCGCAAAACTAGCGTCTCGCCAAGTGGGGTTTGGGCACTCTCTAGTCGTGGGGTGTGACATCAGCTGCCTGACACGTGCTGTCCTGGCATGAGTATCTCCTGCTGGATATATACTGTAACAAAAAGAAAGAAAATAAAGCACACGTCTGTAAGACTTCCCGGATTGTAACTCTAACTTCACTCCTCCTTTAAAGTCTGAAAGAGAAAAGCTGCAACTTAAGAGGTCTTGCTTTTCTCACTGGTGGTTGCTCTCTTGCACACGTGTGCGTGTCCCTATTTCAGGCTTAACCGAAAGATGAAATCACACTTCCCTTTTTGAAGAAACCAAAAGCAGAAATGCTCTGTGCTTGAAATTAATTAACAGCAGGTGCAACACTGTTTGCTGACTCTTTATTCCAGCGTTAAGTCCTCACAATTTAAAAAACAAATTGTGCAAGAAAGGAAAGTTTGTTAAAAAATGCCTGTAACATCAGATGCCATTTTCCTGTCTGTAAAACCAGTTTTCTGTAATTAATTTAATTAAAAAATATAATTGGATGAAAATCAGTTACCATACCCCAGTTTTATCACGGTCAGGCATGAATAATCCTTTGATGTTTGCTAATCCATTAATCCCTATTTTTATTTCTTATTAACATTTTCCAGGTGTGTCCACTATGTTTACAAGGTACAAGTTTCTTGAGAAGTTAAATGAAACAGCAGATAGACTTGACCCCAGACTGAATCTGGCTGCACTTTGTGTTGGAATAATTGGGTGCTTGGGAATGTGTGTTGTGGCCACCTTTCAGGTACATAAATCGAAATGATAACATTACAGTCTCACAGCGGTACACAATACTGTAGATTCAGAATGCATTACATCTTTTGGATTACTTTAGACATGTATTCACTTTTTAGGGAAAAGATCCATTAATCTAATTTCAAAATAAAATGTCATGCAATTTGAAGTTTATATGAGCTGCATTTTGCATTAATTCATTTATTTTCTGTGTTATGCTTGCTTTGTGTGACTTCCGGATTCTTCCTTACCTTAGATTGTTACCCTCCAGGTGACAATTGAAAAGGTGCAGGACAGACAGCCTAAAGCTTGCTGCCCGTTAGCTCTGTGTCTGCCGTTCCAGTGCATGGGCAGGGTCTCACTAGTTCACTGCTCCATGTGTCTCGTTTCAGGAAACAGCCATCATGGTGGTTCATGACCTTGGTGCTCTCCTTGCCTTTGTTTCTGGGGTCATCTATATTCTCCTCCAGTCCATCATCTCCTACAAGATGCGCCCACATGGGTCTTCACTGGCCACGTGCCACACCCGCATGACAATCTCCATCATCTCCCTGATCGCTGTGTTCCCGAGTATCCTTTGCGCCGTGGCTCCGCTGGGCCACGAGCAGCTGTAACAGGCCCGTGTGTCTGGGGAGGGGCGTGGATCTGCGCGGTTCTCAGGATCCTGCAGTGCCGTAGTCAGTGCAAACGCCTGTAGCGGGAACAGTTCATTTTTTATCCGCAGTTAGTAAGCATGACCGTCCGTCTTTCGGATGAGACGTTAAACCGAGGTCCTGACTCTCAGTGGTCATTAAAGATCCCCAGACACTTCCCAATAAGAGTAGGGAGTTATCCCGGTGTCCGGGCCAAATTTCCCCCCTCGGCCTTTACCGTGGCCTCCAAATTGTCCCCATGTATGATGGGCTTGGACTTGCCCTGCGATGGACTGGCGCCCCTTCCAAGGTGAGCCCTGCCTTGCGCTCGCTGCTTGCTGGGTAGGCTCCGGCTTCCCGTGACACCGTGTGGTATGAAGCAGTTTGGCACGACATGACAAGCATGACCGTTGTTGAAGTCAAATTGTCAGTAAAGAAATTTTAAGGAATGTGTTTCTCGGTTTGCAAAACTGTATAAGGATGTACCTAGATAAGATCATCATTGTTTCTTATCAGCCTCACATTGGCCAATAGAATTCCGTATAATTAATAATAATTCCTTACACTTGTATAGCGCTTTTCTGGACACTCCACTCAAAGTACTTTACAGGTAATGGGGATCCCCTCCTCCATCACCAGTGTGTACCCCCACCTGGATGATGTGACAGCAGCCAGAGTGCACCAGTCCACTCCCCACACACCAGCTCTCAGTGGGGAGGAGAACAGAGTGATGAAGCCAGTTCAGAGATGAGGATTTTTAGGAAGCCATGATTGGTAAATGGGAAATTGGGCCAGGACACTGAGGTAACACCCCTACTCTTTTCAAGAAATGTCCTGGGATTTTTAATGACCACGGAGAGTCAGGACCACAGTCTTAAGTCTTATCGAAGGATGGCACCTTTTTACAGTATAGTGTCCCCCTCACTGTACTGGGACATTAGGACCCACATGGATCACAGGGTGAGCGCCCCCTGCTGGCCCCACTAACATCTCTTTCAGCAGCAACCTTAGTTTTTCCCAAGAGTCTCCCATCCCGGTACTGACCAGGCTCACACCTGCTGGGCTCCAGGGGGCTGCCAGCGGTGAGCTGTGAGCTCCAGGGTGATGTGGCTGCTGACATCAATATGGCATAAATATGTACATAGAAAATATTTATGAGGTTATAGAGGAGACATCTTTGGAAACCTTTTTTTCACTTACTTTTTGCCTCTAATATTGTTCCGTCCTCCGTTTAATCACCCTGTACATTTTCTTGTAGAAGTTATAAATCCCAGGCTCACCTGCGTGCCTCAACAAGTGAAAGAGCTCACTTGAGCACAGCACAAGCTGTATAGAGATAAGATCATGGGTTCGAGCCTGGGTCATGTAAGACCACGCATTACATCCGGAAAATACTAGCAGGCGGTAGGCACTCAGGAAATTCAGATTTATGGACTGAAAATTAGTTAGAAAATAGAAAACAGAGGGTTCAGATAAGGGATCAATACTCGATTTGGGATGTAATTAGTGGAGAACCACAAGGATCTGTAGTAGGACCACTGCTCTTCCTGATTTATAGCAGGGTTTTCCATTCTAGGTTAATTATTGTAACTAGTCATGTTTGCAAAAGATAATAAATTTGCAGGATTATCAAACACTGTAGAAGCAGCAACCGAAATTCAAAAGCATTTAAGATCAAACTTGGAGCTGGACAAACAGCAGGAAGACTATTTATAGATAAGCACGCATTCAGTTAGTAAAAATGTCAAAGAAAAATCCAAAATACGAAATGCTAGAAGAGGCTGTACTCATGAGAAAGAGTGAAGTATCTGACATGACGTCATGTCATTTACATCTTCTAGAAAATGTGTGCGAGCAAACAAAGTGCTAGGATGTATACTGTTGTTAAAAGCGTAGAATTTAAACCAAGGAATGTTACGACAAAATGTCATGTTAAAATTGTGTTACAAAATAGTAAGCCCTCATTTGGTCACCAAAATTATTTGATACTGTTTCTCTTAAATCCAGTCCAGGGAAGAGCAACCAGATACAGTCTGGGGCTTTGGGAATGTCCTACACTGACAGGCTGCAGGAACTGAGCCTTTTTAGTGTTGAACAGAGAAGACTTCAAGGGTACCTGATACACGTTTGGCTAATCTAGTCCATTTGGAAGTTAATAGCTAATTGATCCCAGGATTGAAGCTAATTGAAGCCAGGGTTTTACCTTCTGCAACATGGCTGAGGATATTGTTCCATCCTCCCGCAAACCTTAATATAAATAAGTGCCTCCGGTTCACAGGTTTAAATTCACTGCCCCTTAATTTTCGTTTATTTTTGTGTTCCACTTGTGATTTTAAAAAAATCCAAAGGAATTCCCATAGTATAAACCTTGGGTATTTTTATATAAATTCTTATTTAAACTAATCAAATTCACAGATGATGAAACAAACGGGGGAGTGATAAACAGAGACAGCAGTAAGGTATTTACAAATAGACATACAGATTGGGCAGGCATGTGGCAAATTACATTTAATGTCAGTTAATACGAAGTCAACCACACAGGGACATGACTATAGACATCACATGGGTGATTCAGAGCTACACGTATCCACAGGATGTGTGTGTTTATGTAGATTCTTCAATGTTCTCATCAAGACCAAGTAGGAAAGCAATAGAAAAGACAACTGAATGTTTGGGTATGTTATTAAAAGGGTGGAATTTAAATTCAGTTCAGGGAAGTAGTGCTTCTTCTGCTGTGTATGATTAAAACCTTGTGTTGATCTTTGTTCACTACACCACAAAAAGGTTAAAACAGTCTTAAGGTGAGTTCAAAAAGGAGCAACAGCAATTAATACTGGTCACGAAGGATTGTCATATACAGACAGGTCAAGGGAGAAATCTTTCCATTACCTTCAGTTTAGAGCACAGGTGATTGAAAGTTTGGATTCAAGTGAATTGGTTCTGTTGTGGTATAGAGAGTGTTAACTGGAGGGACAACTTCAGTCACAGTAAAGCAACAAGCTCACAGGGTGACAACTGGAAGCTAAATGGGAATTTGTTGCATACTGAGACACAAAGAGTTGTGGGTGTCTGGAACAGGCTTGTATGTGTTGTTGAAGACCAATGGCTAGGCTCCTTGAAGAAACAGCAGGAGGAAAATTTACTGTAGATTCAGTCACCTACTAAACTGTCAAGATTGGCTGAATGGCCGCTAATTTGTAGCTTTTTTACCTGCTTATGGTCAATGATTAATGATTTGAAAAATTAGATTTAACAGCTTCCTGGTCTCAGCAAAATGAGTCTTTTGTTCTTCTCACTGCTTCTCCTTGACCTCTGACCTCACTAGCGATCATATGTGCTGCTTGCTTGAAAATGTCCAAGTTACACTGGGACCCGCATGACAAGGTACTGCATCTGTTCATTATCCTTGCAAATGAGATGTACAACCAGCTCCTGTTCAAACGCCTCTTCAGCAGCAGTTGTTGATCATTGTAGTTCAGCTCTTTGAGCTGCACTGTATAAAAACATCAAGAAACCTTCTGTGTAATTATAAGCAACAAACATGATATATTTCTTTTTGGTACTTGTTTCATATACTTCTAAGTAGCTGCCGTCAGTCTAACTACTAGTAAAAGCAAATATGCATCTCTTTCAAGCATCTTAGTCTCCTGAGCTAATGTAGAGAAATGAACAGTGTTGCGCTGTCAGAAATTGTGTGCTAGATTCCATACTTTAAAACACTTGAAAACTCCAAAAAGAACACAGTGAAAAAAATACATTTTATTGACAAATACCATGCTTTGTTTAAGTACTGGCTTACAAACTGGCTGTGCCCTGTGAATGTTTTCACATCTGGTTGGAATAAGCACGAAGAAGTGCCCTAGGCTTGTTCTCTAATCCCCCATAAAGAGACGATGTGTATGTCCTCAAAGTGAATCTTGTCTTACTCTAATGCAGGCTTCCTCTGTGATCTCCTCCTGTGTTCTAGGGATATGGCTTGCATGTGACAAGTGCTGCATGTGAATGGACAGTGGCCTTTGGCTTCGTCTGTTATTTCCTGACCTACATTAGAGAGTTTCAGGTACGTGAGGTCTCTGTACTTGCACACGCACTTTCCTCTTTTCACTCTTTTCAGCTCGGTGGATTCTAGGAAAAGAGAATTGTTGAAAGTTGAGCCATAACCTTTCAATTCCTTTAACTCTGTCGAGCACTTACTGTACATGCCTCATCAGATTTGTTGTTTCCACACAAATGGCATTCTGCTAAAGCAGTGCCTTACACCATGGAAGATAAAATTGCACTTTTAAAAAGAGCATTAGATTTTTCACCAAATTTAAACGGTTTACTGAAATAATTTTTCAATTGAAAAACGTTTTGATCTTTTTGGCCAACATAGTCAACTAATGTTCATTTTTAAACCTATGTGATAAGGCGTTGAGTAAATATGGATCAATATTAGACTTTACATGTATGCAGTGTAATACCGATATTTCTCTGACACTGAAAAGCTTAAAAGGCAAACGGATAGACACGTGAAGGTGCACATAAGAAATTCTCTGTCTCTCTCATCTTTTGAAAGTAAATACAGAATGCAAACATTTTACTTCTGTGCATAGAATAAACGTGTACATTCTCAAAATGTTTCTCTGGCACTGGAATTACAATGTTTCCATGAATATATTTGAATCTGCTCAAAGCTGCTGTATTGATTTTCATTTCTTCGAAGGAAGAACTATGACAGAGCAGGGTACAGAGAAGAGGTTCTCATGCGGGATGGCAGCTCGGTCAATCATGACGATAAAATCACTGCATATTGTCTAGTCTTTGCAGTGGCTTTGCTTTCCTATCAAAAGTCACAACACTTTTTAGAGGCTGTGAAAAAGAATTTTGTATCGGTGAAATCAGTCTTCTGAAAGATGTGAGAGCTCTCACACATTCATTCCTTCACAAAAAAGGGAAATGTGCACTCAAATTTCTGTTTCAGATAACTGGCTAGGTATTGCAAAAACCCCCCACACAAAGGCGCAGCTCTGATGAGCTATATGTATTGAAAATATTTTTTATTTAACTCTTTCTTTTCTCTCTCAACAGACGTTTACATTGAAGATGAAGATACAGATATTTGACTGTTCTTGACACTGCATTTTATTCCAGAAAAGGTTTCTTGGACTCCAGAAAGGTTTATAGGACATAAAGGGATTCTTTTTAAAAAAGAAGGTTAAATCAGTTTTATTTTCATAGCATTTTTATTAAATTGTACATCTGTAATAATACCTTGTGCAAAAATAACATTAGAAACCTTGAAATAAAAAGGTGCCATTTTATCCATGTCATTGTTATACTCTTTTTGATCAACAACATTAAGTGTGAAGTTTGGATTTTCAATGCCTTGCCAAACACCCATTACATTTTGTTGGCGGGTGTTATGCTTAGGACAGCAGTAACGATTGCCCAAGACTTCATCAGCCTTGATGCGCACTGTGCACACCCAGGTTTTAATCTGCGTGATTAGGGCTGGAATGAGGAGATTCGGAAACTCCCAGCCTGTTTTGGGCAACCCCAGGTTTAATACAGGGAGATGGATTTTATCTTGGCCAAGCATACTGTATATTCCAAGGTCCTGCTTGTCGTTTATTCATTTAGTTTGTAAAGGGTTCTCTTCTATTTCGGTAAGACAGAGCTATGACAAAACACCTAGTGAGGGAGCCAGAAAAGATGCGGAAACCGTCACCTGACATTCTCGAGAATTGACAAAGAAACCCTTTTTTGCTGGAGATTTCATCATGGTGTTATTACACTGTCTGGGTCCTGTTGGCCAACGCATGCTTCTGTGTAGTGATGCACTTCCTGCTGCAGCCCAGACCAGCTGTACAGTCTGGTCTCCGCAGAGTGTGGCTCCGGTTGCTCAAGCTGCCTGGTCCAAGGAGCTGTTTGCGACTTTTGTTCCTGCCTTCAGCTGCTGAATGTAGCAAAACAGCGCGTCAGGAAGGCAGAACCTCAGAAGGACTCTCTTCACTGTTCCAGTTGCGATTTGACTGACAGACCCAATGCTGAGCCCATGAAGACGGTTCTGGGTCACAGCTGGATTCTGAACAGAGATGTGAACGCAGGCCTCTTGTTGGAAATCACCTCACCAAAAAAATTCTTGAGTTTCTTAAGTTTCTTTTCTATCTTATGACTGCTCTTACATGACCTGATAAAAATCCCAAACCTTATGCAAACGAGGGTTTTTGAGGAAGTTGGTCATTTTATTTCTTTCTTTAAAACCGCTAAATCAGAAGCGCAATCGTAGAGTTTCCTTATCAAACACACACAAACCCTGTGACAGCAGAACTGCTTATAGGAATGTTTTGTGGGTGGAACCCATCTGAGAAGAGACTATGACCTGGTTATGTTTTTACCAGAAATGTGGGAAAAAAATAACATTAAACAAAAAATACACAGGCAAAGTAGTCAAGACTGAAGTTTGTCCTGGTACACTTACACCTGGGTAACTGTTTACCTGCAGCTCTTGATATAGCACGTGTAATGGCTTTTGTTTGTTAAGAAGGTTACGAAACGGTGAAACATTGTAATAAAACAGAAATGAAAGTAAATGTTACTCAGGATATCATAAACCCTTGGCATCAAAAGAACCAGCAGAAGAGATCTTCATTCGTACACATTACTGTTGAGCTAAGATCTGAGATTTTAAGACTGATCCTCGACCACAGTCATCCCATCAGTTTGACAGTCTGTTGTTTTGCATTTGGCACAACACGAATTCACAAGGGATTGGAGCAGCAGTAAATGTAACACTGTGAGTGTAGTTAGTCCCGTCACAGATGTCAAATAAAGATGTGTTGGATAAGTTTGCATTATCGGTTGCCCCTTAAGGTTTAATCACATTCACACTAACTCAAATAACACATGTATAGAAGTAGAAATTCAGAAGAACCCAGCCTTCATTTTCTTGAATCCATCATAGCTGAGCGAAGTCACAGACTCAAAAAAGGGGAACTTAGATATGTGGAACTAAAATGAGACGGAAGAATTAAACATTTTTTCTTTAAAGTTTTCTGAGGAAACTAATTTCACACTCACACACTAGTCAAATTGGTAGCTTAAAGTTTACTGTGTCATTGTTGTTCAGCTTTTATTGTCACGTCATTTGCCAGGCTCCTGCTTCACGGGAAGCCGGAGCCTACCCAGCAAGCAGAGAGCGCAAGGCAGGGCTCACCCTGGAAGGGGCGCCAGTCCATCGCAAGGCACGTCCAAGCCCATCATACATGGGGACAATTTGGAGGCCGAGGGGGGGAAATTTGGCCCGGACACCAGGATAACTCCCAACCCTTCTCGAGAAAGATCCAGGGATCTTTAATGACCACTGAGTGTCAGGACCTTGGTTTAATGTCTCATCCAAAGGACAGTGCCCACTATAGTATAGTATATGCCACTATACCAGGGCATTAGGACCCACACAGACCACAGGTTGGGCACCTCCTACTGGTCTCACAAACACCTCTTCCAGCAGCAACCATAGCTTCCCAGGAGGTCTCCCACCCAGGTACTGGCCAGGCTCAACCCTGCTGAGCTTCAGTGGGCTGCCAGTTGAGTGCTGGAGGGTGATATGGCTGCCGGCATGGCTTTTAATGTGATGCATTTTATTTACATTATTATAAATGAGTGCTGTCCTCAGTGTTGGATTCTGGGTGTCTGTTTCTGGGTCTATGTGTCTATGTGTGCCCTGGGAAGTACTGGGGTCCCTTCTTGCACCCATTGGTTGTTCAAACTTCAAACTAAACAGTAACATGACAAGGTGGGTTCTAGTCTTCACAGGTGTGAACAGGTCAAAGTGGAGAAATGGTTATCCGATATACAGTACACTTCAAATGGGCTGTGTCTTGTCCCACTTAGCGTAAATTTTCTACACTAACAATTGTAAAAAGGAACACACAGTCAGACATCTTATTACGTTTGCTGATGACACAGCCCTGGTCAGCTTATTAAAAGACCCAGAAAATCATCATGGGCCCATTCTAAACAATTTTACTAAATCAGTCCTCTTTGATGTTAAAAAGAACAAATGATTGATTTTAGGATAAATGCAACATCCCTCCAACCTAGAGTAATTAACAGTTAGACTGTGAATATGGTCAATGACTACAAGTACGTGGGACAGTTTACTGTATACTGTATAAAAGGCCAAAAGATTTATTTTTCTTAGGAAACTCAGCTTTTTTTTCTACTGTTCTAGAAATTATTTGCTGAAAGTTTTTTAAACATACCGTCTCACTATTAGTTTGGTAACATCAGTACCATTAATTGTAATAGGATGGAAAAATTAGTGAAGATAAACATCCAAATCACTAGGGCAAATAAATAAACCTCAATGTACTCTACAAACAGAGGGCTCTGAAGAGGCCAGGAGTGTTATGGAGTGTCTTTCACCCTCTCCACTGTGAAATGACACTACACTCATCTGCACCCAGTGCAAAACTAACAGGCTCCTTTCTAACATAAACCTGTCATGATCATCATCCCTCCTCTCAAGGGTGCTCCATCTCTTTCCTATTTTAGTTGTCTATGTGCACCTGCCCTCTGTTTGTCCCTCATTATTTAAGCCTGGTGCTCCCACTATTCCTGGCTCAGCTTTGGAAGACAGACACCCAGAAGCATCGGCTTCACCGTCTGAGTCCGGGGCTCGGAGTGCCTGGCCTCGTTACCCTGGTTTTATCTTCCTGGTTTCCTGTCCCTGTTCCGGATTTTAAGTGTTTGTTTAGTCTTGGTTGGATCCCCCAGTTTTGGACTTTGGACTGCCGCCCGGATTCCCCCTTTTGGACTTTCCTGAACTTGTTTGCCATCGCTGCGCCCCCCGAGCACCGGATCACTGGAGTCACGCCCCCCTGTCTGTCAACCCGTCTTGATCCTCATCGTCTTTTCCCTGTTGTCTTTCATCAGTTACATCCGGATTATACCATCTGCATAGGCTCCGAAACTACCCTCCCCTTACAGGACCTTTCATTCCATCTTATCTCCTGAAACACTGCTGTACTGTCTTCTTTGTCGGTGATGTCTGTCTGTTTTGTTGTATTGTTGTGTTGGATTCTGACATATGACAAATTTCCCCCAGAGGTAAATTTAGATACTAATAGCTTGAAAGAGTTGGTAATAAGGCTTCAAATAGAGATACTAGCAGCTAATCTCAATATATGTAACCACCTTGAAACGTCTGCTCAGGTGACTTCAGAGTCTGGGCATATTAGCGTTTTGCTGCATAGAAAGTTTAATCACATTCACACTAACTCTATTAAGAAGCTATTAATGGTATTCATAAAAGAGGTTCAGGAGGAAAGTTAGATCCTAATCTTGCAAACTTCTGCTTGCCTACATTACATAAGTCCCACACCAAGATCTTCCCTTTGTGTATCTCTCTCGCATTTCAGCATATGCTATGGTCAGAAATGAAGACAACACTCTTACACACAGAGTTGCTAAAACATTTCAGTGCTCACTGCAGTCAGAGACAGATGGCTCTATCTCTGCTGCTCGCCTGGTTCCAGTTCCATCCTCTCCAAGGCTTGCTGCCTTTCCTCGTACAGTCGGATTGAGAGATCAACCACCATCCGTCGCCTACAAACTAGGACAGAATAAGCTTCCTCGCCAGCTCAAACATTCAGCTCCACAGCCTCAGCCTCTCTGCAGAAAAACAACCAGCACCCTTCACCAGCCACGCTTTCTCCAAGGCATGCCAGAGCTCTTCCAGCTCAGCTCACCTCTCCCCGGGGCTCTGGAACAACTGTGGCTGCTTCCGCTCTCTCCTTCTCCTAAATCTCCGCTACCCCCCTCACCCCTCCTCTGAAATCTCCCATTGCTGTCCCCCCCGACACCTCCTCCCCCTTTTCTGGTCGAGTGCCCCACCCCCCAGGCGCACGACACCAGCCTATGTTCGTCGTCTTGTCTCTTCCTCCTTTCCCCAGTCCTTCTTTCCTCGATCACACAGGAGCCCCCCAGCCAGTTCCCCACTCGGCCCTGCAGGGGCTGCACTGGCTCCAGACTCCTCAGCGGTTTAACAACTATACCACCCCTGGCACCCTGTGGTCTTGGCAGCTAAGGAGGGGTTACCCACCTCTCTTCTCCCCTCCCCCCCAAAGCTGATGTCCAATTGGTACGAGTCTGGCCCTCAACTGCACCCCACTCCTGGAGGGGACACCTAGTTGCACAGAAGGGGGGTGAACACTGGGCCAGGACCCCCAGAGGTTTATATTCTCCCACTGGGAGTTCTTGTTTTATAGTTTTGCACATGTTGCAATTGCAAAATATACGGAAATGCATTGATATCTGAGACC